TAAACAGCTTAGAGAGGAATATAAATGAACTGATAAAGCTGAAACACAACAGGAAAACTTCGTGAAGCATACACAAGTTTCAATAGCCAAATTGACAAAGCAGAAGAAAGGATATCAGAGGTCAAAGATCAACTCAATGAAATAAAACAAGAAGGCAAGGTTAGAGAAAAAAGGGTAAAAAGAAAAGAACAAAGTCTCCAAGAAATATGAGACTATGTGAAAAGACCTAATCTACGTTTGATAGGTATACCTGAATGCGACGGAGAGAATGAATTCAAGCTGAAAAGTACTCTTCAGGATATTATCCAGGAAAACTTCCCCAACCTAGCAAGGCAGGCCAACATTCAAGTCCAGGAAATACAGAGAACACCACAAACATATTCCTCAAGAAGAGTAACCCCAAGGCACCTAATCGTCAGATTCACCAGGGTTGAAATGAAGGAGAAAATGCTAAGGGCAGCCAGAGAGAAAGGTCGGGTTACTCACAAAGGGAAGCCCATCAGACTCACAGTGGATCTCTCAGCAGAAACCCTACAAGCCAGAAGAGAGTGGGGGCCAATATTCAACATCCTTAAAGAAAATAATTTTCAATCCATAATTTAATATACAGCCAAACTAAGCTTCATAAGTGAAGGAGAAATAAAATCCTTTATAAACAAGCAAGTACTCAGATATTTCATCGCCACCAGGCTTGCTTTATAAGAGCTCCTGAAAGAAGCACTAAAAATAGAAAGGAACAACCTGAACCAGCCACTCCAAAAACATACCAAATGGTAAAAAGCATCGACACAATGAAGATACTACATAAACTAACGGGCAAAACAGCCAGGTAGCATCTAAATGGTAGGAACAAATTCAAACATAACAATATTTACCCTAAATGTAAATGGGCTAAACGCCCCAATCAAAAGACACAGACTGGCAAATTGGATAAAAAGCCAAAACTCATTGGTGTGCTGTATCCAGGAAACACATCTCACATGCAAAGATACATAAAGGCTCAAAATAAAGGGATGGAGGAAGATTTACCAAGCAAATGGAGAGCAAAAAAAAAGGAGGAGTTGCAATTCTAGTCTCTGATAAAATAGACTTTAAACCAACAAAGATAAAAAGAGACAAAGAAGGACATTATATAATGGTAAAAGAATCAATGCAACAAGAAGACCTAACGATCCTAAATATATACACGCCCAATACAGGATCACCCAGATACATAAAGCAAGTTCTTAATGACTTACAAAGAACCTTAGACTCCCACGTAATAACAGTGGGAGACTTTAACACCCTACTGTCAGTATTAGACAGATAAACGAGATCAAAAATTAACAAGGACATCCAGGACTTGAACTCAGACCTGGACCAAACAAACCTAAAAGACATTCACAGAGCTATCCACCCCAAATCCGCAGAATATACATTCTTCTCAGCACTACATCATACCTACTCTAAAACTGACCACATAGTTGAAAGTAAATCTCTCCTCAGCAAATGCAAAAGAACAGAAATCATAACAAACAGTCTCTCAGACCACAGTGCAATCAAGTTAGAATTCAAAAACTAACTCAGAACTGCACAGCTTCATGGAAACTGAACAACTGGCTCTTGAATGTTGACTGGCTAAACAATGAAATAAAGGCAGAAATAAAGATGTTCTTTGAAACCAACGAGAACAAAGACACAACATACCAGAATCTCTAGGACACATTTAAAGCAGTGTCTAGAGGAAAATATATAGCAATAAATGCCCACATGCGAAGCAAGAAAATATCTAAAATAAACACCCTATCATCAGAACTGAAAGAGCTAGAGGAGCAAGATCAAAAATCTCAAAAGCTAGCAGAAGACAAAAAATAACTAAGATCAGAGGAGAACTGAAGGAGATAGGGTACAAAAAACCCTTCAAAAAATCAATAAATCCAGAAGCCAGTTTTTCAAAAAGATCATCAAAATAGACCACTAGCCAGAATAATAAAAAAGAAAAGAGAGAATAATCAAACAGATGCAATAAAAAATGATAAAGGGGATATCATCACAGATTCCACAGAAATACAAACCATCATCAGAGATTATTATAAATAACTCTATGCACATAAACTAGTAAACCTGGAAGAAATGGATAAACTCCTGGACATGTGCATCCTCCCAAGCCTAAACCAGGAAGAAGTCAAAACCCTGAATAGACCAATACCAAAGGCTGAAGTTGAGGTGGCAATTAATAGCTTACCAAAAAAAAAGCCCAGGTCCAGATGGGTTCACAGCCGAATTCTACCAGGCATACAAAGAGGAGCTGGTACCATTCCTCCTGAAATTATTCCAAACAATCCAAAGAGAGGGAATCCTTCCCAAATTATTTTATGAGACCAACATCATCCTGATACAAAAACCCGGCAGAGTCTCAACAAGAAAAGAAAATTTCAGGCCAATATCCATGATGAAGATAGATACAAAAATCTTCAATAAAACACTGGCACACCGATTGCAACAGCACATCGAAAAGTTTATCCACCATGATCGAGTAGGCTTGATACTCGGAATGCAAGGCTGGTTCGACATAAGCAAGTCTATAAACGTAATTCACCACATAAACAGAAACAAAGACAAAAACCATATGATTATCTCAATAGATGCAGACAAGGCCTTTGACAAAATTCAACAGCTCTTTATACTAAAAATCCTCAATGAACTAGGTATTGATGGAATGTATCTCAAAATAATAAAAGCTATTTATAACACACCCACAGCCAATATCATAATTAATGGACAAAAACTGAAAGTATTCCCTTTGAAATCTGGCACTAGACAAGGATGCCCTCTCTTACCACTCCTATTCAATACAGTATTGGAAGTTCTAGCCAGAGCAATCAGGCAAGAAAAAGAAATAAAGGGTATTCAATTAGGAAAGGAGGAAGTCAAATGGTCTCTATTTGCAGATGACATGATTGTATATTTAGAAGACCCCATTGTCTCAGCCCAAAATCTCCTGAAACTGATAAGCAACTTCAGTAAAGTCTCAGGATACAAAATCAATGTGCAAAAATCACAAGCATTCCTATACACCAATAACAGACTTAAAGAGAGCCAAATAAAGAACAAACTGCCATTCACAATTGCTACAAAGAGAATAAAATACCTAGAAAAACAACTAACAAAGAATGTAAAGGACCTCCTCAAGGAGAACTACAAACCACTGCTCAATGAAATAAGAGAGGACACAAACCAGATGGAGAAACATTCCATGCTCATGATTAGGAAGAATCAATACTGTAAAAATGGCCATACTGCCCAAAGTAATTTACAGATTCAACACTATCTCCAACAAGCTACCAATGACCTTCTTTACAGAACTGGAAAAAACCACCTTAAACTTCATATGGAACCAAAAGAGAGCCTGCATAGCCAAGACAATTCTAAGCAAAAAGAACTAAGCTGGAGGCATCACACTACCTGACTTCAAACTAAACTACAAGGCTACAGTAATCAAAACAGCATGGTACTGGTACCAAAACAGAGACCTAGACCAATGGAACAGAACAGAGGCCTCGGAGGCAACGCCACACATCTACAACCATCTGATCTTTGATAAACCTGACAAAAACAAGCAATGGGGAAAGGATTCCCTGTTTAATAAATGGTTTTGGGAAAACTGGCTAGCCATGTGCAGAAAGCAGAAACTGGACCCCTTCCTGACACCTTACACTAAAATTAACTCCAGGTGGATTAAAGATTTAAACATAAGACCTAACACCATAAAAACCCTAGAAGAAAATCTAGGCAAAACCATTCATGATATAGGCATAGGCAAGGACTTCATGATTAAAACACCAAAAGCATTGGCAGCAAAAGTCAAAATAGACAAATGGGACTTAATTAAACTCCACAGCTTCTGCACAGCAAAAGAAAGTAATTAGAGTGAATTGGCAACCAAAGGAATGGGAAAAATTTTTTGCAATCTACCCATCTGACAAAGGGCTAATATCCAGAGTCTACAAAGAACTAAAACAGATGTACAAGAAAAAAACAAGCCCATTCAAAAGTGGGCGAAAGATATGAACAGACACTTTACAAAAGAAGACATATATGAGGGCAACAAACATATGAAAAAATGCTCATCATCACTGGTCATTAGAGAAATGCAAATCAAAACTACATTGAGATACCATCTCACGCCAGTTAGAATGGCATCATTAAAAAATCTGGAGACAACAGATGCTGGAGAGGATGTGGAGAAATAGGAACACTTTTACACTGTTGGTGGGAGTGTAAATTAGTTCAACCATTGTGGAAGACAGTGTGGTGATTCCTCAAGGACCTAGAAACAGAAATTCCATTTGACCCAGCAATCCCATTACTGAATGTATATCCAAAGGATTATAAATCGTTCTATTATAAGGACACATGCAAAGGAATGTTCACTGCAGCACTGTTTACAATAGCAAAGACTTGGAACCAACCCAAATGCCCATTGATGATAGACTGGACAGGGAAAATGTTGCACATATACACCAGGGAATCCTATGCAGCCATAAAAAACAATGAGTTCGTGTCCTTTGTAGGGACATGGATGAACCTGGAAACCATCATTCTCAGCAAACTGACAGAAGAACAGAAAATCAAACAAGGCATGTTCTCACTCATAGGTGGGTGTTGAACAATGAGAACACATGGACACAGGGAGTGTAGCATCACACTCTGGGGTCTGTAGGGGGTAAACGGGAGGGACAGCATGGGGTGGGGACTTGGGGATGGATAAAATGGGGAGAAATGCCACATATAGGTGATGGGGAGGAAAGCAGCAAACCACACTGCCACGTGTGTACCTATGCAACAATCTTACGTGTTCTTCACATGTACCCCAAAATCTAAAATGCAATAAAAATAAATAAACAAATAAATAAACAAACACAATGTAAGTTAAAAGTGTCAAGAAATTAAGGTTGTTTAGTAAAACTAATACATTTGGTTAAAGATCATAAAACTGGTTACTTATAAAATATACTCACCATTTGTGCACTGGAATCCCCCAACGACTGAAGTTCGTATTGAACAGCTTGCTCATTTTGGTCGACTAGGTGGAATTTTTCTGCAGAAAGAGTCTGTGTCTGAGTCAGGGTCCCTGGTATATTCTGTGATGTGAGTGAATTATTTGCTTCAGGAGCAGTGATCGGCAAAACTCTAGGAGAATCATTTTGTTCAAAAGAAGAATCCCTGGAGCCCATACAGGTTAGATGCTTTTGCAAAGAAAAAAAAAAATCACTTCAGTCTAACAATACAGTATCACCATTTAAAAAAAAAAAAAAAAAGATGTGTTACGAAAAGATATCCATTTTCAGTTGTTTTTACTTTTTTGTAAGTTCTCAATTCACACAAATTGACATAAACAGAAAGTACTTAAGTAAAATTGTTGATTATTATATTTAATTTTATCAAAATAAAATTGTCCACAGGAAAGCAACCTGAAATAACATAATTCAACCTATAGATTTTTCTTTGTATAAAAATTTATATATATATATATATATATAAGCATTAAGTTCTGTATTATAAAATGTGTGTATAATTAAATATTGAAATTTTTTTTTTTTTGAGATGGAGTTTCGCTCTTGTGGAGTATAATGGTCCAATCTTGGCTCACTGCAACCTCTGCCTTCTGGGTTCAAGTGATTCTCCAGCTTCAGCCTCTGAGTAGTTGGGATTACAGGCACCCACCACAACATCTGGCTAATTTTTGAATTCTGCAACCTCTGCCTTCTGGGTTCAAGCGATTCTCCAGCCTCAGCCACTGAGTAGCTGGGATTACAGGCACCCACCACAATGTCCGGCTAATTTTTGTATTTTTAGTAGTGACGAGGTTTCACCATGTTGGCCAGTCTGGTCTTGAACTCCTGACCTCAGGTGATCTGCCCATCTTGGCATCCCAAAGTACTGGGATTACAGGCGTCAGCCACCACGCCTGGCCTAAAATTCTTGAATACACTAAATATAACAGGTATCGCTTGAGCATAAAGAGCTGTTAAATGGCATACTGTTTTACCCTAGGATGTAAAAAAGTTCCCAGCTGAATCCCTACCTCAAATACCTGAGCATCGGTTTTTGACTCTTCACCATCATTATGGTTGGCTCTCAATGAATCATTAGATTGTTCCATGCTGACATCATATTCAATTCCATTTTCTTCTATGATTTAATAGCTGAAAGAGTTTAAATAGCTGATCAACTAAAGCACTTAGTATTTTTGTGGAATGTTTTATCTTAAACCTCTCATATTCACTACTGTGGTACCCCATATAATTTAGGTAAAATCATTTCCATTCTATAGTTTAAAAAATTAACATTTTTGTTAAATAACTTGCCAAGGCACCAGAATACATTCAAAACGGCAAAAATTAGTGTTATGTAGATCCCTCATTCTATCTTTAACCACACTTCTGTACTGGCTTTTTAAGATTGCTTTTATGTGACAAGGTACTGCTAACCTTTCAAATACTTCTAAAATTATCATGTTACCATAGATTTAATACAAATAAAGTTTTTCAACTTTATGAGTTGGGTGTGCCCTATTGTAGCATTATATAATTTTAAAATAGATATCCTGGTGTAGACAGATTATGTATATACAATTTTTACCATTAATAGACTTAACATTTTACCACTTAACATTAGCTTGACAAGTTTTGAAAAGGAAGAAATATTTAAAAAGAGAAAATAAAGAAACATGTATACCAATAACTCTGAGCCACTTAGGTCTAGGGCAGTGGTTCTTAATTAGAGCAATTTTGCAAAGCTACAAAATCAGTCACGTTTTAATACATGGCTACAAAATATCTTGAAATTGCTCCTCCTTTAAGATTTTAAATTATCACTTATATCCTAATCAAGTAAAAAATCAATTAGAAAAAAACCAAAAAACTTGTAGTTACCTTGGGCTATAGAAGTAGAAGCAATTTTATTTTATAACTTTGTTTTTTTTAAATTTGTATATTATACCTATATTACTTGAGAATAAAATAATATTTAGAAGGGGTTTCAAATAAAAAGAGCCTCCCAAAAATGGCAATATGGCAAGTGGATACTATAAAAAAATTATCTTCCTACAAAACAAAAAACAGTAAGTTTTAAGGCTAAGAAACTGGTTTGGACAAGCAGCTTGTAGGGCAGGAAAACTTAAAATTCCCAAGATAAGGATAACAACCTGAAAGGTTCTGTGTGAAGAGTGTAACCTGGCTTCTGGTAAGAAAAAAATGCAGCTACTATTTTGAAAGAAACAAACCCAAATAAGACTCCAGTTTCCTTTCATATTAAGATCAATTAAATATAAGCTAAGAGTCAAAGAGTACCAAAAACACAGGAAATAAGCCACCATGAGATTGAGTCATCAGATTTAGAAAGTCCCTAAAGACTTCCCATATTGGAAACTATTTAATGTCTAAAAAAATAAATGAATCACAGAGATAAGCAAATAATAAAAATTATCAAAACTTTAATTAAAAAAAAAAAACAGGCTGGACATGGTGGCTCCTACCTGTAATCCCAGCACTTTGGGAGGCCGAGGTAGGTGGATCACTTGTGTTCAGGAGTTAGAGACCAGCCTGGCCAACATTGTGAAATCCCATCTCTACTAAAAATACAAAGATTAGCCGGGCACAGTGGTGCATGTCTGTAATCCTAGCTACTCAGAGGCTGAGGCAGGAAAACTGCTTAAACCCTGGAGGTGGAGGTTGCAGTGAGCTGAGATTGTGCCACTGCACTCCAGCCTGGGTGACAGAGAAAGACATTGTCTCAAAAAAAGAAAAACAAAACCCCAAGAAACAAGAAACCAAGCAGAACTTTCGGAAATGAAAAACTGCTGAAATTAGAAGGTCAATGGAGCCAGAAACAGCGGTTCATGCCTGTAATCCCAGCATTTTGGGAGACCAAGGCAAGATGATTGCTTTGAGACCAGGAATTCGAGACCAGCCTGGGCAACATAGTGAGATCCTGTCTCTACAGAAAAATTTTAAAATCAGCCATGTACAGTGGTGTGGGTCTGCAGTCCCAGCTACTTGGGAGGCTGAGGTGGGAGGATCTCTTGAGTCCAGAAGTCTGAGGCTGCAGTGAACCATAATCATGCCACTGCACTGCAGCATGGATGACACAGTAAGACCCTGTCTCAAAAAAAAAAAAAAAAGGCAATGGATAAGTTAAATAGATGATTAGATGCAGAAGAAAGAATTAGAAGACAGATTTTTGTATTACCTAGACTGCATCACAGCAAACACAGAAGATAAAAAATATGACAGACTTAAAAATAGAAAGTATAGTATGCATGTAAGTGAAGTCTCAGAAGAATAAAGAAGAGAAAATGGAGGAGAGACAATACAGATGCTCTTAGACTTACAACAGAGTTATTATCCTGATAAACACACTGTGAGTTGAAAATACGTTAAGTGGAAACTATCATAAGTTGAAACTGCATTTTTGACTGACAGTATTTTCAAATTACAATGCATTTATCCAGATGTAACTCCATCATAGGTTGAGAGGTGTACAAAATATGTATCATTTTCACACCATCATGAAGTTGAAAAATCATAAGTTGAATTAATCTAAGAATTAATACCATCGGTATTTGAAGAGACAATGGCTGGCAACTTTTCAAAACTAAAGATATGAATATACAGACAAAGGAAGTCTTACTTTTAAGTACTCTAAGATAAATAAAAAGAAATCCATCCTCAATGTAATGAACATGCAAAATTCTAAAGAGGAAAAGGAAAATGCAGCTAGAGAGGTAAGATGGACCATAAAAACACCCCGAGCCTAGGTAACAAAAATATAAATGAAAAAAAGAGAGAGAAGACAGACTCCCTACAGAGTACTGAAATTAGACATACAGCAGCCTTCTTTTTTTTTTTTAATTGTACTTTGGGCTCTGGGGTACATGTGCACACCCTGCATCCTGCAGAACTGTTGCATAGGTACATACATGCCATGGTTGTTTGCTGTCCCCCACTCCCCTAGCCTATATCAGGTGTTATCCCTCCCTATCCTCCCCCCTCTCCCGTCCCTCCCCTCCCCTCCACCCCGCAACCTAGCCCAGCGAGTATTGTTCTTTTCTGTGCCCAAGTGTTCTCATCGTTCATCACCCGCCTATGAGTGAAAACATGCGGTGTTTGGTTTTCTGTTCTTGTGTCAGTTTGCTGAGAATGATGGTTTCTAGATTCATCCATGTCCCAACAAAGGACAGGAACTAATCATTTTTATGGCTCCACAGCGGCCTTCTTAATAGCAACATGGTAGCAGAAGTCACAGGAATAATATTGAAGGTTTTTAAAAATGTAATTATTGGCTGGGTGTAATGGCTCACACCTGTAATCCTAGCATTTTGGGAAGCCAAGGAGAGTGAATCGCTTGAGCCCACAAGTTTGAGACCATCCTGGGCAATATGGCAAAACCCTGTCTCAAAAAAGAAAAACTATCAATAAATAATTGTATATGATCCAAACTATTTTTTTCTACTGCCTTACCTTCAGAATAACAACAACAACAAAAAACCACAAAAAAACAAACAAAAAAACCACAAAACTGTATTTTTTCACAAAACAGAAAGGAAGATACCTTAAGATCTAAAAAAACTGAAAGTCGGCTGGACACAGTGGCTCACCCTGTACACCCAGTAATCCCAACACCTTCGGAGGCCGAGGGAAGCGGACCACTTGAGGCCAGGAATTCAAAACCATCCTGACCAACATGGCAAAACCCTGTCTCTACTAAAAATAAAATAAATAAATAAATAAATAAATAAATAAATAGCCAGGTGTGGTGGCACATATCTGTAACCACAGCTACTCAGGTGGCTAAGGCATGAAAATCGCTTGAACCCAGGAACTGGAGGTTGCAGTGAGCCAAGATCATGTAAGGAGCACAGGGAAAGACTCTGTCTCAAAAAAAAAAAAAAAAACTATTATAATACATAAAAAACAAAAAACAGTGTTTACAACCAATGTATTGCACATGAAAGAAATTTCTTTTATATATATATCTATTTTTTTTTATTGCACTTTAGGTTCTGGGGTACATGTGCAGAACATGCAGGATTGTTAAATAGGTATGTACATGGCAATGTGGTTTGCTGCCTCCATCCCCCCATGAACTATATCTGGCATTTCTCCCCATGTTATCCCTCCCCAACCTCCCTACACCCTGCTGTCCTTCCCCTAGTCCCTCCCAACAGACCCTGTATGATGCTCCCCTCCCTGTGTCCATGTGTTCTCATTGTTCAACACCCATCTATGAGTGAGAACATGCAGTGTTTGATTTTCCATTCTTGTGTCAGTTTGCTGAGAATAATGGCTTCCAGATTCATCCATATCCCTACAAAGGACATGAATTCATCCTTTCTTACGGCTGCATAGTATTCCATGGTATATATGTGCCACATTTACAATACACTTCATATCTGATAGCACAACAGGGTGACTAGAGTCAATAATTTAATTATATTTAAAAAGTACTACAAGAGTATAATTTGATTGTTTGTAACACACAGGATAAATGCTTGAGGGGATCGATACCCCATTTTGCATGAAATGATTACTACACATTGCATATTGGTATCAAAACAGTTCATGTATCCCATAAATATCTACAATTACTATGTGCCCAGAGCCCTCCCTGTGTCCATGTGTTCTCATTGTTCAACACCCATCTATGAGTGAGAACATGCAGTGTTTGATTTTCCGTTCTTGTGTCAGTTTGCTGAGAATGATGGCTTCCAGATTCATCCATGTCCCTACAAAGGACATGAATTCATCCTTTCTTACGGCTGCATAGTATTCCATGGTATATATGTGCCACATTTACAATACACTTCATATCTGATAGCACAACAGGGTGACTAGAGTCAATAATTTAATTATATTTAAAAAGTACTAGAAGAGTATAATTTGATTGTTTGTAACACACAGGATAAATGCTTGAGGGGATCGATACCCCATTTTGCATGATATGATTACTACACATTGCATATTGGTATCAAAACAGTTCATGTATCCCATAAATATCTACAATTACTATGTGCCCAGAGCAAAACAAGATCTAATTTTTTTTTTTTAATAGGAACAGTAGGCCAGGCACAGTGGCTCACGCCTATAATCCCAACACTTTGGGAGGCCGAGGTGGGTGGATCACGAGGTCAAGAGATCGAGACCAT